CTTCTGCAATTTGCCGCTGGCTCTGATGCCTCTATAGAGGTTAAACATGAAATATAACGCGTTTTGGGTAAATCTGACGGGCAGTCTTTGCTCTCATTAATCTATTGTTATGCAGCGCTGTCATTGGACATCACCCTTAACAGATGAAAGGACAGTACGACAAAGATATCGCTTTCCTCAGCGGACATTCAAACTAATGTTTTATTGTGAATATGAGATTGAGCTGAAGAATAAATGCTGTATCAAATGCAGGTAATCACACTCTCGCTCAGTCCATCTCTCTCTCACAATACTCTACTCTACATACAGTGAGCTTTTAATTAAGTAATACAATACGTTTTTAATGAAGAAACTCAACGTTCCTTTGTTACTAGTTCTAAAGTGACGTTTTTGAATTAGTAACGGAGGCTTCAGCTCAGCTGTTATACTGTCAAACTGAGATTTGAATCTGATTGGAAGTAGTTCCGAACAAAAGGGTTTCTAAAGACCCTTCGTTGTTGTTTTTCTTATATATTTACACTCGTGCCGTCGAACTGTTGTATAAACGCAATATCACTCTCGTACTGCGGCCTCATGCCTCTGGCCTAATCACAGCCATGCTAATATAGAGCCGGTATCACTCTCGTACTCGAGTGATATTGCTCATATATATATATATATATAATAATTTAAAATATTAAAAAAGCTAAAACCTATATTTTTTTAATACATAATTAACACCATTTGACATTTAATCTCTTGATGTACTTTAATGTATAAATGATAAAAAAAAAATGGTATAAACTTTTTGTTTGTTTTCAAAAAATAAATACAGGGGTTATTACTTTTCTAAAATCTACTAAATTTTCTAAAATCTGATCACTTTGATCAAACTAGATTTCATAAGGATTTTTTTTCTTTCATTATATTCAACATTTGTTATTGTCTCATGATTCACTTCACATGTTTGTCTATCTTTCATTCTAATTTTCTTTCTTTACATTAGTGGCACCTTTATTGTCATGAGCTGCCTAAACACTGGTATCTGAGACTCTCATGTGCACAACTGGATAATGGCGTCTTGTCATATCTGGAGCGCAGAACAAAAGCTGATGTATTTGGGGAAAGAGTCTGTTTGCGAGCTCGAGAGCGAGGGGAGGTTTTCATGGCTCGACCCCCCACTGCACAGCCACTTATTCTGGGGAAGAGCGCTGTTTCTCCCGGCACACACACATACACACACATATGTTCACATCCAGCTCATCTGAATTTCTAAATTTCCGCTTTCACCATGTGTAATTTCCACACGACTGGAGCAGCATCTCAGAACGAGCCGAGAAGATGTTATTCCACCATGTTACAGCAGATCTGCTCCTGACACTGTGTGTAGTGTGTGTGTGTGTGTGTGTGTGTACGTATGTGGTTGTGCATGTGTGTTTGTGTGTGTTTCCGTATGTGTATGTGTGTAAAAACATTCATTCAGCAACATAAGATATAACGTGACCTAATGTAACTGTAACATGTAGTGTAAATAAAAATAGGGGATTTGGGGAATTTATTTATTTATTATTTGGGTTATAACTATAAGTTAAATGGGAAAAGTGAATATATTTTACTGTAACATTACATGAAAAGTCCAATTATATTTATTAGATTTATTATACAGTTTTTCACCATATAAACAGGGCTTGACACTTACTTCTTCACAAAGCAGCATGTGCTTAATTCGAAAAATTTAGGGCTGCAATGAAAATGTGCCAAGTAATTTGTTTTTCTTTACTGACGGGATTTATGTGAAAATACATTTACAAAATTATTTATTTCAATACAAAAAGGTTATATATATATATATATATATAGAATACAGTAGGTTTTTAAATATTTATTCTTTAAACTATATTTAGTTATTATGGAACTACAGTATATATATATATATATATAAAGCCCAAAATACACAGTGACTCTTATTTTGAAATGTGTTTACTATTTCCAGCTGCTGATTCAAACAGATGAGTGAGATCAAATATGCACTCTTGCAAAAGTCTACAACACATCACTGAACTGTGAACTGCACTGATACCATGAACCCGTGGCGTTTTCACTTTGCAACAATCACATTTATTTCAATAAATCATTACCTTTTGAAGTTTAAAAAATTCCTATTTTTTCCATCCCCAAATTTAAGATTTCAAAAAGTGATAAGTAAAATTTTGGTATATCACTTAAGGTATTTTCATGACCTGAATTTGGAAAAAAAAATAGTTTTTTTTATTTGCACACATACTCATCTAATGTAAATCACAAATGCGTGTGAAATGCTTGCACTGTTAACCAATTAACAAGCTTTAAACGCAGCGTTTTGCCATTGAAATGATCTTCTGCCCTCGACACTGAACACACTGCCGCCGGTTACGCTGAAGCTGCTTCTGGACGTTTGCCTGCTTGTGAGCATAATGGACTTTAACTGGATGCAGAGCCTCATGGGACTCCAGAACCAATTGAGAGAGTGTTGAGGAATCCTGCGAGCGAAGTGTCTTCAGAGTTTAATGAGGACCCAGGGGACGAGCGCTCGGCGGAAGCGACGACAGCAGTGCCGCAGCCAATCAGGAGCTGTAAAACTCAGCTGCCGCCGCTGGAGCACGAGCCCATCAGCGCTATCACACTCACCGCTGTTCGTACGACACACACACGGATGGGAAGAACACACACTGAGCAGAAGCTGTGCCATGAACCAGCAGGTGGAGCCGGTGCTCACATTCTGCGCTGTGATTGGCTGATGGCTTTGTCAGTCATCAGTGTGGGGCTGAACAGACAGAGAGCTGACGCTATATTCACATGTAGAAGAACAAACAGAACTGACAACACCGTTTTGAACTAAAAACAGAAAACTTTTTATGCCTTTTTGCCGGTCATTTACACGACAACAGCGTTTTGGGGGCCTGATAACACAAACTTTGAAAAAGGGTTTCAAAGTGCAAGTTTTTGAAAACGATACTGTTAATCTCCACGTAAATTATAAAATTGCGAATTAGTGAAAAGTGTGTTGTCATGCGCGTGTACACATGTTCAGTCTATAGGAATGTGTATGCGTGCGGGTGCGTAGTGTTTATTTACAAAGTGACATCGCCACCTACTGGCCTGGCATGAATAATACGTAATAGTTGGTTCGAAACTTACTGTGAAACAATTTTCGCTCAGAAACTGCTGGTAAATTTCAATGAATTACAAAGAAATGGCAAGTAACACATTGAAGTAGACATGAAATTTCGAAGTACGGAGACCGATTACTTCAAGAATATTTATGTCAACTTAATTGTAACTATTCAGTGAGTTAAATTGAATTATGTTGGGTTGGCATTAATTGGATTCTGTACAGCTGAATAATGAGTGGAATTTATTTGAACTTAGTTATGTTGGGTTGAGTTGAGATGAATTCAGTTAGGTGAAGTTCATTGGGTTGAGATGTTGATTTGAGTTCATTTCAATTGGATTTTTTGTTGGGTTGAGTTGAATTTATGCATTTGGTGGACACATTTATCCAAGATGATTTACTGAGAAAAAACAAGATTTGGTTTTTAAAAAGCCTTTTTCCAAAAGGTACATCTGGAAAAAGGGGGGTCGTCTTATAATCAGGGTCGTCTTATATTCGGGTCAATACGGTAGTTGGGTTGAACTGAATTTAGTTAAGCTGTGTTGGTTTGAGCTGAATTTTGAAAGCTGAACTTGAAAAGTTGAGTTGAGTTGATTTAAGCTGGGTTGATTTATGTTCTGCTGGGTTGAGTTGAGATGAGATGAGATGAGATGAATTGAATTAAGTTAGTTTGGGTTGTGTTCAGCAGAGATGGATTTATGCGTTTTTCAGATTTTTTATTTATGTATTTTTTTTCATAGTCGAATTAATTCAGTTATGTGTTGAGCTCGACTAAATTCAGTTGATCTGCATTTGCTATGTTGGGTTCAGTAGAGTTTATGCATTTGAAACACAAGCACACACACACACATTTGAGTATATTTAGTAAGATTTGATAAAAAATACAGTAAAAATTGTGAAATATTATTACAGTTTAAAATATATATTTTCTATGTGAATATGTGTTAAACTGTAATTTATTTCTGTGATGCGCAGCTGTATTTTCAGCATCATTACTCCAGTCTTCAGTGTCACATGATCTTCAGAAATCATTCTAATATGCTGATTTGCTGCTCAAGAAACATGTCTGATTATTATCAATGTTGAAAACAGTCGTGCTGCACAATATTTTTGTGGAAACTGTGATGCATTTTATTTTTCAGGATTCACAGATGAACAGAAAGTTCAAAAGAACAGCATTTATTTAAAATGGAAATCTTCTGTAACATTACAAACGTCTTAACTGTTACTGTACTTGTGATCAATTTAATGCATCTTTGATTAATGAGTAATTAATTCAAGTAAGGATTATGTATTAATTAAATCAATTCAATGTTTATGTTTACGTTATAGCTGTTCCTGTGGCTCAGTGGTAGAGCATTGTGTTAGCAACGCAAAAGGTCTTGGGTTCAATTCCCAGGGAACACACATACTGGTAAAAAAAAAAATGTATATCCTGAATGCACTGTAAGTCACTTTGGATAAAAATGTCTGCTAAATATGTAAATGTTACGTTTAAGATTCCAGAAGTATTTGCACAGTCTTTACTGTCACTCAAACTTGTGTCGCAGCCATTGATAGAAAAGACTTCCGCATCACTGATCTCTCTGAAAACTCATAGAAATCTCCTTCTTTCTCTCTCGAAATGAATCAACGGTTTTCCCGGATTGTCAGCTTTCCAATAATCTCTGACCTTTCAGACGCCTGCAGTTCAATTACTCGCCAAAAGAACGCTTCCCACGTTCAGCCGCCGCTGATGGTGATGAACTTTACGGCAGCGTGTTTCCTCATTCCCTCCGCTGGCTGATTCCTGAGATTAGACTGATGGGACGAGCGAGGCGCTTTCATCTGAGTTTGTGTGGTTTTAAATTGAACTGCTTTTGTTTTTCAGCTCCTGAGTCCTCAGGATCTTCGCCAGGGCTTTCAGAGGTAACGTGCCATGGCTTCTGTGCATGTGTGCATGTGTAAGCGTGTTCGGCGGCGGGCCGACCTGCTGACGGTGTGCAGGTGTAGTGCTTTAGCAGCAAAACCGTCTCTCACACACACACACACACACACGTTGTCTAGTTTGCCGATTGTGAAATCATTGTGCTGAGCTTTTGTTCTCTCTAAATCTTGACCATCCAATCAGAACCGCCGCTGAGCTGTGACTGACAGTGATGAATGCCCGCCCCGATCCCATCAGCTCTGTTAGCACGAACAAAGCATGCTGGGAGCATCTCGACAGAGACACTGGCACGTCATTAATACAAACTCTGAGGAAACAAACAAAGGCAAACTGAACTGTCTTATACACCTACAGCACGATCCATCAGCGCAGAGAAACTCGCTCAGACATCAGCTCATTCTTTACACAGCTTACAGACACAGTGTGTGTGTGTGTGAGTGTGTGTGTGCGTGTGTGTGTGTGTGTGTGAGTATGTTTGGATTGTATCGCAAGCTACTCTCACAATGATTTTGCCTGTGAAGAAAAATGAAAAGTGCAGAAAGACAAATCAGAGTTGCAGGAAACATCTGCCAGGTTTCTTTTTATGTGTGATTTTCCAAAGCTTTCTTTATTGGCCAGAGCAGCTAAACACTAACTGAACTACACAATAGAAATATTTAGACTTTCCCACCAGGATTTCATGGGATTTTTGTGGCCCAAAATGACTGCATTTGCTGCAGCATTTTTTCAAAAATTGTAGTGATATTTGTAGAACATTTTTTAATGTTGTTTTGCAGTGAAAACCCGTCAATGATCATGAAGTGCTTATGGAATTAGTGTCAGTCACAGTAAGAGTGAAATTACTTCTAAATATTTTGCATATGATTACTGAAATCAGCTGTGGTTTTTCATTCACTCAAAACATTAAAAAGTGCATATTCAGTAAAATAATGTACTTTGGTAAGTCCACTGGTAAATCAGGCATTATGAGGACTAGAAAATAGTCACCCCATTTTACAATATATTAAGTATATATAGTAGTTAAATGCTAATAAATAATAAAAATAACAAACTTTAATTTCATCTAATGTGCTTAACATCAAAGGGTCCCTCATATAAAATATCGGTAAAACCAATTATCGGTCAATTTCTACTAATATTGCTTCCCATTTTCCTCGGATTAACATTTTTTTATGAAAATGAAAAAAAAAAAAACTTGGTTGAATTTGCATTGATTTTATTAATTTACTTGTTTTAATAATGTTTGCAGCATCTCATAAAACAGTGAAAGAAATGAAGAGACGTGGGTGCAGGTTTCTGGGGACATTTTCAAAATGTGAAAATGTGTATCCTCACACATTTAAAGAAATGTTGAAAAGTAAACGTTAACGAGCTGCTCACTGTTTGAAATGCATGGATAACTCAATCAAATCATGTTTGGTTTTCCATATCATGAAGTTCCACATCATTCGGTCCTGTCAATCATCATTATAAGCCTATATAAGCAGCAGTCACTGCGCCGGCATCCCTCCACCTCCCCATCTCCTCCTCTATTTCAACTCGGAGCTCAAGCCGAGCCTTTAGGTTTGGTTGGATTTAGTTAGGGTTAAGGTTAGGTTAGTTTTGGTTAGAGTAAGTTATGGTCAGGTTTAGGTTTAGCTTTGGTTAGATTTACTTAGGGTTAGGTTTGGTTAGATTTACTTAGGGTTAGGTTTGGTTAGATTTAGTTAGAGTTTAGGTTAGGTTAGATTTGGTTAGAGTTAGTTATGATTAGGTTAAGTTCAGGTTTGGTTAGATTTAGTTAGAGTTAGGTTGGTTAGGTTTAGGTTAGGTTTGGTTAGATTTACTTAGGGTTAAATTTGGTTAGGATTAGATTAGGTTTGGTTGGATTTAGTTAGGGTTTAGGTTAGGTTAAATTTGTTTAGGATTGGTAATGGTTAGGTTTAAGTTAGGTTTGGTTATATTCATTTAGGTTTAGGTTTGGTTAGATTTAGTTATGGTTAGGTTTGGTTAGATTTAGGTTAGGTTTGGTTAGATTTAGCAATGCATATGTTTGTTTAGGTTTAGCTTAGGGTTGAAATAGAAAATATCATCACCTCTATATACTAACCATTGTGGGTATGAGGCATCCTCACTAACCTAGTCAAACATGTGTCAAATGTGTGTGTGTGTGTGTGTGTTTTTGGGACTCATAATAGTAAATTTATCTGCTACATCAGCTCATGTTAGACAACACACACACACTCACTCTATGTCATGTATTGTATGTTGTGTATTGTACATATGAGACTACATTACGCTTCATATTCCAGTCACACACATGAACACAGCATCACAAGCAGGTCAGGAATCTGGGCCACTAACACAGTCTGACTCATGACCTCTGAACCAGAGGACGTCTGTAATCACTTTATCAAGCACACGGCTACATCAGTGGACAGAGATGCTGGTGTAGTTACAGCATTGACCTCTTACTGTACCTCTGACCTTTGACCCCACAGACTGTTCACTGTCTCTGAGTGTCTGTGAAATGGGGTTTCAGATGTGTGTGTGTTTCTCTGATAAAGCTCTGCATTCATGTCATTATGATTCAGATCAGATTGTTTGGTTTTGAACGCTCATTGATTTTGAAAGTGTGTGTGTTTGCGGAGTAGAAATCGGGTGATTGTTTGGGGCATCATGTGTTCAATCTGTGAGTTCAGCTTCCCCTTCAGTAGGCCAAATTTATGCTTTAATTACTGGGATTCATCCAACTGGAGTTCACACACACACACACACACACAAGCTAGTGGTGGGGTTGTTGCCGTATTAATGAATTGTAATGTGGTGTAAGCTTTCTTCCTGCTGGAGTGAGATGAGCTGTTTAATACCTGCTGGACAGACTCTATTAATGAGGCTTTAATCTGACCAACACGTTTGTGACGCTGAGCTCATAAATATCATTGAAAGCCGTGATTAGACCTCATCAATACAGACTATAACTCTCAGTGCAATTAACAGAGCCAACGGTTACGTGTGTGTGTGTGTGTTTTCTGCTTTGTTGCATGCTGTATTCACTCATGAAGTCATCCGACTCTCACGTACCAAAACACACACCACAGATCAATTAGATAAAGAGAAATATAATTGAGAAATACAGATCATATCACAACTGAAATAATTGAATGGTAAAGTGTTTCATTCTTTCAGTAAGTAACTATATTCATAACTAGAAGTCAATGGTAGTTTGATGTCCTGAAAACTGTTGGGTTTGGTTTCAGTTTGAAGTGTTTATTTTCTCAGTGGATGTTCAGTTCTTCTGGATGTTTAAACATCCAAGTTGTTATTAAGTTAAGAAAAGCAATATAAAAACAATATAAAAGCCATTTTCACTTTAGAAATCATTCAAACAAACAAATTAATTAATTAATTAAATTGAATTATTATTATTGTTATCATCGTCATTGTTATTAAATACACAAAAATAAATGTATTATCATTATTATTATTATTATTATAAATACACAAAATAAATAAATATTCACCATTATTATTAGGATTGTTATTAATATAAACATATATAATTACATTGTTATATAAACAAATAATACTAATAATTATATTATTATTATTATTGTTGTTGTTGTTGTTGTTGTTGTTTTATTGCCCAAATTAAGCAGTGATGCCCAATCCCACAAAGCTTTGCAAAGTATTACTATACAGTCTAGTTTACTGTAATAAAGACATACTACACACACAAATACTGGCTTAATTAAGTCCATGTTGAACAAGACAGTGATTTGAATAACTTTTTCGGTAGTGAGTGATTTATATTTATAGTCAACATTTCTCCTGCGTATTCACCGTCTTGTATTTTTTCTACTGCATTTGTTGCAGTGCACTCTGGGCAGAAGAGTGTGTCTTTAACATCATATTTTGCATGATTAGCTCTTGAACCTGACTGCGGGTATGTCTGTGATGTCTTGCAGTGCTGTCTATGTAGGCGGCTCACTAGGGTTCGGCGAGAGTCTTTGTAAAGCAGAGAGGGTCGTCTGAGACGTCTAGTGCATCAAACACTGTGAAACTGATGAAAGTGTGGAGGCTGATTTATATATATATATATATATATATCTTTCTTTCGGTGCACGAGAAGCGAGAGATTGACGTAGCAGCTCTTTCAAGAACCCTCAACTGTAAAATAGAGACACAATACATGTGATCAATCTGAGAGAGAGAGAGAGGATGAAAGCATGGCTGGACAAACAGAACTGTGGGAGTCTGAGGCCTCGATTCATCGTCACGTCTAATAGCCGCCGATCAGTTTTGACGGAGCGATCCATAAACTTCCTTCATGGATCAGATCCCTGATTCACGTCAGACAAACACATAATTCTGTCATCAATTCCAAACCTTTTTTCTGCTGAACACAAAAGAAGATATTCTGAAGAATGTTGGTAACCAAACAGTTGACGGTAGCCATTGACTTCCATAGTAATTTTTTCCATACCGTGGAAGTCAATGGCTACCGTCCACTCTTTGGTAACCGACCAACATCCAGCGAGAGACTCTGCAGCACTTCTGTGGCATTAGAATGCATTTCTCCATCTTTCTGTCGTCTGGTGTCATTGCGGCTCTGAAAGCTGTCATTGCCGGGCTGAGCAGCTCTTTCTCCGCGGCGAAAAGTGACTGTCCCTCGTTACGCACGGTGAACCCGTCTCCTCGACGACTGCTGCTGTCACCGTGGCAACTGTCAATCAATCGCATCGACAGCTGGACAGCGAGGTACAATAATGATGAAATGACGAACCGTCGCTCTGAAGAGCAGCTCAGATACGCCAGAACTGAAAGGGTTGTGCTAGTTTACAGCGTTATTCTTTCACACGAAACTCATCTAAACAATCCTACAGCTTTCCAAGTTAGTTATTCTTCACTGTTTTCAAACCTGTTTAAGAGTAGTCGACAACATTCACATCAATGAATTTTACCTCTAAGATAATTTTGTTTGTGAATGTTTGTTACTTGT